CGGTGGGCCCTGTCGGCCCACCGCTGAGGCCTCCCCACCTTTTTCGGCGTTCGAAGGTATCGCCATATGCAGTATGCCTCCACAACGCTTCTACTGTCCCACCAAAGGATATGCCGTGCCACCGCTAATCATTGGGTCGACGACAGGACTGTCAGGAATATCAGCGTGAATAGCATTTTGGAATAGGATTGGCCCAATTCCTAAAGGCTAGCATTTGGGAACAGGAATCAAGGGCCCAATTCCTAAAGACTAGGATTTCTGAGTCGCATTTAATTAGCAATAGGATTTCGGTTTAGGATTTCGCGAATAAGGTGAATTTATGGCCAAATGCGTCATTTGCGAATAGGAATTAGCCTTTAGCATTTCGGGAATAGGATTTAGGGCGTGATCTGGAGAATCATGGGATTGATTTTGGATATCAAATACTGTTCATGAAAAATGCATTTTACATTGGGCTGGTGGCCCATCTCGGGGTCCTCCCCATTTGGTGCCTAAGTCCCTAAACAACAGCATCTGCGACTAGCACTCAGTTTGAGTAATGAGCGCAAAGGATTTCGCTTTACGATTTGGGGTGGGGAATAGGATTCCGGTAATCTGGAGAATCAAAGGCTTGATTTTGGCCACCAAATTCTGTACGCTCAAAAAAAGTGCAGCTTACACTGGGCTGGTGGCCCATCCATCTGAGGCCCCCATTTGGCGTCTAATTCAAGAAAGAACAGCATCTGCGACTAGCATTTGGATTTAACAATTTGGGAATAGGACTTAACGAATACGATTTTGCTTCAGGATTTAGGGAATCCCGAGTGTGCATCGGGACATACACGGAGGTTTGCAAAGCCGGCCGGCGCGCAGGCTTCTTCGGAGGCGGCTTCGCGTCTTAGTGGAGTAGTCTGATTACTCTGGTTTTGTTGGGTTTTCTGCGCTGACGACTCCATGCACAGGCTTAGGCGCTTGCCGTCCTTCGGCTGTGGCGGATCTTCGTCCTGCCGCTGTACGCGGCGGAGCAGGAGCACCAAAAACTACGATGCCACACCTCCACCAAAGCATCGGCGGACAAGATCACTCGTGTTCGCTTCGCCTGCAACTCTACACCCTAAAACCTAAAACCTAAATTGGCGAAGTAACATTGCTAGCACGACCCAGACCGGTGACCCAAGTCTCCCGGACGAAGATGCATCGGGACTCCGCCGCATGCTCCATCTGCCTGCTGAAAAAAAACATTCGTTGCAAGTCGCGCGAGCTAGAGAAGTGCCGTGCCTCAAACGGTGGCGTACCACCAATTTCCAGGCATAGCACTGGCAATGCCTTCGGAGGGGGAGCTCCCAAAGCCTGCAAACGACTAGCTTGCACCAGTAAGTCGAAGATGGTTTTCGGCCCGAGAATGGGGGTTTGGGCCGGGTTTGGGCCAGAAGAGCCCTGATCTCACCCAAACCCAGGTTTTCGGCCCAAGAAGGGGGGTTTGGGCCAGAAGAGCCCTGATCTCACTTAAACTTGAGCGTTTAGGATTTAAGGCTCAGGGCTGGGGCTTTTTGGGTTTAAAATTTATGGCTCTGCATTGGCCTTTAGGATTTAGGATTCCGAGCTTTGGCTGGCTTTTAAGGTTTAGCACATATTATAAGGCTCTGCACTGCCCTTTAGGGGTTTAGAATTCAGGGTTGTGGACTGCGAGATTTTCTTCTTTGAGTCCATCAAGTAGCTTTCAGCAACTTCTAAACACCAAAGGGTCTAACCACAAAAGTTTAGAGCTTCTCTTCTTTGAGTACATCAAGTAGCTTGCAGCAACTTCTAAACACCAAAGGGTCTTATCGCAAAAGTTGAGAGTTTTGTTCGTTGAGTCTATTAAGTAACTTCGACTTTACACTGAACAAATTATGTGATGCGGTAAAGGGTAGGCAGTAGAAACGAATAGTTGGGTTTAGCTTAGACTTGGCGTATTGACGATCTTCGTTTGATTCGAGTGTGTTGTGACAAGTTGTTACGTTGAGTCCTGTTGACACAGGTAAAAATGTTTTTTCTTAATGTGAGGGGAACCTATGGGCGGGTGTGAAGCCCGTGAAGAGAAAGACACTTTTTATTTCCCAATGCTATGCGATTCTGGGGTGGGTGAGTGTTATGTCTAAATCGTGAATGTAACTTTACGACAAAACTGCTCGATCCGGAGCTGCTGATCCTAAACCCTAAGTCCTAAACCCAAAGCCCTGAACCTAAACTAACCCGTAAAACCTTTTCAGGGCAGGCTCCAGAGCTCCAGCACAAAGTGGTGGCAGTTGAACTCGCCTCCAGAGGAGTTCTTTCTTGAAAAGGCTCGGGGTTTAGAGTTTAGGGTTCAGGGTTCAGGGCTTAGTTTTCTATGGCGTCTTGAATCATGTGTTCTGGTGCCTTTTAGGGTCTTATATGAGTTTGTAAGTGTGATATTGTGTCTGATAGGGTGTGTATAGGTCTTGATACACTAGCATCAATAAATAGAACGGGCTTTGGGAGTTACTCTTCTGTATTACCGCACAAGGACGTTTATGGCAGATTTGGATACCCTAAACCCTAAACCCTAAACCGTGTAGACCTCTACATTAAGCTGTCGGATTGTGGCGTTGGGGTTTAGAGATTTAGGTTTCCACCAAAACAGCATAAGCCTCAGCAGTGCCAGCAACCAACCTGATCTGGGGACCCGAAGAACGAAACATGCTTGCGCGTGATTGTACTTGCATACCCGTTCTTCAGGCCTTCATTGCGCGTAAGCCTCGAAATCTCCAGAGGCCAACCTCGAAGCCCTGAATCCCTCAAGCCCGAAAGCCCTATACCCTCAACCCTGAGCCCCAAAACTCTCAACCTTGAAGCCGATAGCCCAAGCTCCCCAAAACCTAACCCTATACCCACGACCCTAAACTCTAAACCCCAAACCCTACACTCTAAACCCCTGACTCTCTCCAATGGCAGGCCGCTGAGGGAGTAGGGTCTCCTCCGAGCCAGCTCTTTCGCCTCGCGCGTCAGCGTCTCCGCCGTGAGGGGCCGGGCCTTGATAGAGCTGCAGCTGCTTGTGTTGGGAGCAGAGGACGGAGGGTGGGGGGTTCGGGTTCAGGGCTTGGGATTTGGGATGGTTTAGGGTTTAGGGTGGTGGGAGAGGGGGGCTGAAAAGTTTCGTTGTTTCTGTCTCAGGGCACTGTTGACGGTCTCGAGTTTATGTGCAGTTTGCGGTTTAAAGAGGGGGGTGTATGAGCCTAAATCCCACACTAAACCCTATTTTCCGGCGGCGAAGGGTTTCACGGTTTGGCTTAGGGGGGCCTCAGGGCTTTGACATTACGTCAGGAAGCGGTTCAGTTTAGGCATTCAGGCTTAGGATCTGGGGTTTAGGGCTTAGAGTCGAGGTGAGCCGTCGAGGTGAAGCAACTGACATCGATGCCTTACATGCTGCCGGATGGCGAGATCTTGGCTTTCTGCTGCCCTGTCGTCATAGAGAGTGCTCTGCGGGTCGAAAAAGCGACTGTCGCTCTTGTTGGCCGGATCGTAATGGAGCTCGGTGTAGCCTGCTTCAATGGTAACCGTGTTTCCCGATGGTCTCGGAAGTAACAAACTTGTCGACACCTTCGTACCTACTAGATAGAATCATGAAAGAAAGCATTGCAACGAAGCGAACTTAAGCATTGAAATGCACAAAACATGGCGTTGCATCTCACCATCCCCGCGACGTTTGCTCAATCACGGGTTTTCAAGGCTGGCTTCGCCGATCTCTTCCCAAACTCGAAACACGAAAACAGCTCCAAGCCATCAAAACCGTTGACAGCAAAATCCTGGAGCGTAAACCCAAAGATCCTAAACATCGCCGTCCTATTGCCTTGATCTGCATAGATCTCGAGCCGCAATCTCCGGCCATCGAGGAGGCTGACCTGCAACTTTGAGGCAAAGGTGACTCGGCTTGAAGATTCGGTCAGGGAAAGCTCGGGTGGGTTTGGGGCTTCGGGGTTTAGGATTCTTGGAGGTAAAAGACTTGTGTTGAAAATTAAAGACTTTTTTCCTGGACCCTGCCTAACGGATATGACAATAACGCACAAGGTGAGTTCTTTGGGGTCGCGGTGGGTCTTGGGGCATGGGCGTTTTGTGTTGGGGCTTAAAGGCTTTGAAGGAGAAGAAAGCTTTTACGGTGTCGCTTTTCTTTCGATTCAGGCAACCCGGGCTTTGCTGTATACTGGGCCTCTGCCATAAGCCATCGTAAGAGGCTGAGGGTCTTAGGCTTGGGGTGTACGAAATATAAGCTTCCGGGTGTAGGGCTGAGGGTCTAGGGTTCATTGCTTGGGCTTAAGTTTAGGAGGCTCCTTATGAGACATTCAGGGGACTCATGCCTCGAGGATCAAGGTGCCTCCTGTGAGAGTTCGCATCCATGCGGTGTAGGGTTTAGGGTTTAGGGTTTCGGGCTGGCTCCAGTGACGAGACTGCAAGAATGGTGATCTGAGCTCTCTGATCTCTTCATTGTTGGCGCTGCGCTGCTGTGAACAACAAAACTGCAACCATCAGAGAGCCGCTAGCAATCGTAGCCTGAAGCCGGCACCCCAGAAGCTCCCAAAGCCTAAATCAAGCATGCAAAACAGAGCCGTACACGACAACAAGCCAGAAGACACACTGAATTACGAAGCCTGAACCTCTAAATCCCGAAACCCAAGACTAAACCCGAAATACCCTGAACCCCAAAGCCCCTAAACGCCTCTGGACCCTGCACTGGGCTACACCCCCAAATCCGCAACAACAAAGACACCGCCAGCCAAGGTTCTTCGAGCCAGGAGTGCGAAGTCAATCCTCGGCTCTTTTCGTGGCGTACCTGCGCTAACTCAGTGGCTCCCGTCAAAGGTTCCCTGAAGGGCTCCTATACGGGCTTAGGGTTTGGGGCTTAGGGTGTAGGGGTGGTCTCCTTGTTTTTTTTTTCTGGGTGCCTCTCCATGCAGTTTGAGGCTTGAGGGTGGGGGGTTTGACGTTGTTGACTCGGGCTTTCTGGTTTGATTCAAGGCCGGAGTTCCTAGAGTAGGGTGTCGAGATAAACTCTACCATAGTTATGAAAGAAGGAATACTGTCACTGAACATCCCGACCCCTGCATAAACTCAGAAAAAACCCAGACGCAAAAAAAGAACCCTCATGTGAAGTGATTCCTGGGGGTTTTCGTTTCTAGGAAAACTGGGCTTTACCGTTCGGATCCCTAGTTCAGGGGATGCTTTGAGCTTAGACGGTTCGGGGTTTACGGTGTCGGGCCATTTGAGAGTCCTTTCGGGTTTTGGTGTTCACTGGGTTTACTGGATGTAGAGTTTATTTCCTATGGGGTTTGTTGAAAAATACGGCTTATAGGACTTAGGGTCGTGGGGTTTCGGTGTGTACGGTTATGGGGTATAACATAGGGTTGTGACATATAAATCACTAGGGTTAGAGGTTTGGAGGGTTCTACCGCTTAGGATTGCGATAAGCTGGCTTCCAGCACTCCGAAGCGAACTTCTCCGGAGAGGATCGGGCGACGGACAGAGGCGTAGTCGTTTACCATACATTGAGTCCAACATGGGCGTCAGTTTTGACAATTGATGCTCTGTGTAATGAATTCTTATCATGAACTGCCTTAGTGGGCATTGTTGCTATATGGTTGAAGTAAACCTCGGCTCAACCAAGGCCCTGAAACCCGACCCTCTCTGTGTGGAAGACGCCTTTCGCCATTCGACGTACACGACGCGGCGAGGGTTCTCCACCCAGGCTACATAATCCTGCGGCGTGTAAGATAAGGATCGGGGGAGTTTCAGTGAAGGCTCCGGGCTCTCAACTGGTGTCAATGGCCTCGTGGGCCTGCGAAGCACTTCTTTAAAACAGTCTTTGGTTATGGCCTTCAAGCTGACTATCCAAAACCCGAAACTCTTAATATCCTGGCTCTCGGCTTAAGGCTCAGGGTGTAGTGTGGATTCATAAAGGCGCAGACACCGTGCGCCAAACTCACTGCCATCTTGAAAGAACAGTCGCTCTACAGGAAGCCTTGATGTCAATGTAGACCAGCTTCAATGTTCATGACATCAGGATCTCAGGTGCCATGCATGTGATGGACAAGCCTTCTGTGACGAACTTGGAAACTCTTGGATTCTTGAGTGCTGTCGTTCGCCATGGCACAGCTGATGGACAACTAAAGAAATATTTCTACGGGATTCTGGACAATGCCCAAAGCTGCCCGCACACCTGAAATTGCAAAACCATTAGGAACATAAAGCCCTAATCCTTACGAGACCCTGTGTAAACAACCGCCAACCTCTGCACTCTCGAAGTGCGATCGGCCCATGGCGGAAGAAATGAACGGCTGCTTGTTTAGGGTTGGCAGTGTCGGTTGTAGGGCCCAGGGTTTAGGGCATAGTGTTTCGGGGCTAAGCGTTTATGGCTCAGGGTTGCTGCTTCAAGACTTTTCGAACTCCAGGATGTTGGGCCGGTTGACACCAGTAATCTGAAAGCCTGAAAAGGCGTGAGGGCTTAGGAAGGGGTCCGTGAAGGGTTCCTTTACGGGTTCCTTTAAAGGCTCCTTAACATAACGAAGGGAGAAGGGCGAAGGGCTTCTGAGAGTTTGAGATTCCAGTCTGGAGCTCCTTCTTCGGGTTTACCTCATGTGCGTGGCTGGAAAGGAGTTCAGGAATCGCGCAGTGCAGATGCCGGCAAGTAAAGCGGTAGCTATGCACAAAGAGAGATATAGAGATAGAGACATAGATGGATAGATAGATAGATCGATAGACAGACAGGTAGATAGATAGCTAGATAAATAGGTAAATAGATAGATGGATAGACAGATAGATAGATAGAGGAGTGGAGTGGAGTGGACGACCACTCCAGGCCCAGGGGAGATAGACACAGACAGACAGACAGACAGACAGACAGACAGACAGACAGACAGACAGACAGACAGACAGACAGACAGACAGACAGACAGACAGATAGCTAGAAACATAACCACACTACAGCTTCTGCAAGCACTGCCTTCAAAGGTCTGCGGCTTGCTAGCCTCCCCGTCATCTGGAAGCGTTTCACGTTCACCAGATATGAACTGAGCACAAGGACAACTGGCTCGAACGGTGAGAAGCAACCTATAGGCTTCTCGACTTCGACTGTGCCACTTCCCATGCAAACAGCAGAATACAGGCTACAGGGGGCCGGAATATTTAGAATGGAAAATTGGGGCTTATTATATCAATCGCTACATGACGGATGTGCCTTGGTTCGTTGCAAAGAAAGGTTGTGACGGGTTACTTAGAGGTGTTGGGGCTCAAACTTGGTTTAAGGCTGAGGGTTCATAATGGGCTTACGGTTTATAATGGTTTTGGGTTTACAAGGGTTTAGGGTGTATAAGGGTTAAAGGGGGTTTAGGGATTTAGGGTTTAGGGCCGAGGGTTTAGAAGGGTCTAGGGTTCATAATTTTGAAGGTTTTAGGGTTAGGGCATCTAATGGTTCAGGGTGAAAGTTTAGGGTTGATGAAGGTTGAGGTGTTCGAGTTCCGGCATGCAGGATCCAGTTTGATAGCTTCAGAGATTTCAGGGCCTTGCGTGTCGCATGTGGGGGTTCGAAATTGAGGGCCTTAGCCGCTTCGACGCCCGGCAATCAAAAATTGCAAAGTCCATTAACTTATGGATGCCCGACCCGTCTTCAGATCGCCGAAAAGAAGACGCCGAAGAGGAGGGCGGCGCCCACCGCCATGGGCTGTGAAGACGAAGTCCCCGAAGCCTCTGAAGAGATCGAAGCCCAATACCCTAAACCAAAAGCCCCAAACCAACAATGCTAAACCCTAAACGCGAAACCCTAAACCCGGCGAAACCCAGAACAAAAAAACTAAACCCTTTACCCTAAACCAAAACCGAAGACTCTAAACCCTAAACTTCCCTAAACCCTAAACCCCTTCGAGGCCTCTGAAGAGGTCGATGTGCCTCCTGGGCAGTTGTCCTTGGTGATGCTGCACAGGCCTGGGCTTTGAAGCAACCAGGGAGGGAAAAGTATGAACTCTTGCTTCACAATGCGTTCCAATTCGTACTTATAGTATCATACTAATTTGGCTCCTTAGAAGGAACAGGTCCCCCAAAAAAAAGTAGTAAAGTATGGTGCTCCAGAACCTAGAGGCTGCTCCACACCTGGAAGGCTTCGTCAGCCTAGGCTCGTGTTTCAATTTGGGTTTAGGGTTTAGGGTTTTTCGGTCCTATAAGGGTTCCGGTAAGGATTCCTTTAAAAGGGTTGCTGTAAGGGCTCTGTTAAGGGTTCTACGAGGGTTGCTGTTCTGGCTGCTGGGTTCAGGAATACGGAATACCTATAGTTGAAATTACCTTAATAGGAAGCCATGCTATTCACTATGGATCCCTGTAGTGGTTGCTGCAATTCAGTTCATTAACAAGAACCCAGCAGCAAGTAGGACACCACTGTCGCCCATCTGCTCGCAGTCGCCCAGATTCTGGTACTTGAACTTCTCAGGGATCTGCGAGCATGGTACGGTCTTGGAGATGATCTGCCCACCCGAACCCCATCCTTTCTCGAGGACAAGGCTAGACATCATTTGAGGCGCGTGCGACGACTGCCCAGTTTTGTCCGTGCGCCAAAGATGCAGGATGCTCTTCAACTGGTCCACGGTGGAGCTACGGAACTTGAAGATAAGAATGGCGGTCGGGGTCATGAGCGTCTGGTTGTACACCGCATCGAGCGCACAGTCTTGCATGCGCCCTCCGTTCACGGTGCTCACAGACATGTTGTTGTCACACATCGCCTTGTGGGATCATTGTTAAGGAATTAAGTTTTAAGTTACCAGAATAGTAAGCAAGAGTAAAGAACATGGCTTCCTTGTCATGATAACTTACATGAAGTTCCTTAGCCAGAACCCAGCCTTGCGAAGCGTAGATCCGAGCGAGCAGCCCGTCCACATGACAGGTCCCTCTGCATTCACATAGCTCTGCATCCTCTTCACCGCCATGTCCCCGAAGTTGGTCGCCTCGCCATTCGTGTTTTGGAACCACAGGTTCACATCCTCCAAGCCTGGGTTCTTGTTCGGAAACTTCATTTGAGCTACCATAATCGGGATCTATGGTAATACTTGGTATTCCTGAACCCTAAACTCCATAGCAGCCCTGATAGTAATCCTTAAAGAAGGAACCCTTCGAGGGACCCTAAGATCCCTACTATGGAAACGCACAGTCAACTAGACTCCTTAACAAGAACCCAGAAGCTTACAGACGGCACGGCCTGCCTCATCCCTGGCCCTGGCAGCGTCTGCCAGGACCAGTAGCAGAGATCTGCATCGCCCATCTCGGCAGACTTCTGCACCAGCCTGGGTTCTTGCTGAGGAACTTAAGGCAAGTTGCCATAATTCTAGTACTGGAGAGCCCTATCATGGCAACTGAAACTGAGCTCCTAAATCCTTCTAGAACCCTTGAGGGAACCTCAAACTGTGGCAACTTCAATGAAATTCCTTAAGAAGAGCCCTGATCCTCTACAGAAACCCTAGACCCTAAAAACCGCAAACTTAACCCTGAACCCTGAAGGTTAAACCCTAAACCCTAAAACCTANNCCCCCCCCCCCCCCCCCCCCGAGAAGAGAGCCCAGCAGCGTGTCAAGGAAGGGGCTCCAGCTGGGGTTCGTCGGCCAAGGGCTCGGGGATCCGGGCCCGGAGCTGGAGAGGCTACCGCGGTTGTCCGCGTAGTCGTCCACCAGAAATCCTTAGAGGGTTTAGGGGTTTAAGGTTTATGGGGTCCAGGGTTCAGGGCTAGGGTTTAGGGTTTAAGTTTCAGGGTGTAGGCTTTAGGGTTTAGGGGTTTCCATTGAGGATCAAAGCTCCTCTTGAGGAATGTGATTCGAATTACCGCAGTTCTGGGTTCCTTTAAGGCTTCTATAAGACTTCGCGGCTTCGGAACTTAACTTACGTTACCACAATAAGGATCTATAGTAAATAATAGGGTCAACTTAATTTATATGCTCTTAACAGGAGCCCAGTAGCCCGGGTAGGTGCTCAAACGGCGGCCGTCCAGAGGCGGGTGCCCTTCAGGCAGGGGACCATCACTGCCGAAGGGGCAGGCCAGGGAAAGCCTCAGCTGTGGTTTAAGGGTTCCGTGAAAGGTTCCTACAAGGGTTCTTCAAAGGGTTCTAGAAGTTTTGGGTTCAAGGTTGAGAACTTAGTTTAAGTTACCATAAAAATAAGGAAACCACACTATTTACTTTTGCTCGCTCTAGATCTATAGTAACTGCAAGTAAATTCCTGAACATGAGCCCAGAAGCTGCAAAGCGCAGAAAGCCGGCAAAAGCTCCCGGACAGGCGTCATTGGGTCTGAGTTTCGGCCACCGAGTCGAGCTGGCTAGGCCTAAAGGCTGAGCCTCTGAGCCCACAGCTTGTGAAAGCCATTTTTGGAAAGAGAGTGCTTCACAAGAAAAGAGTTCAGGGTTTTGGGCCGGCTAGGCACGCTTGACAGGAGCTCTGAACAGCATAAAGTGCGTGCAGATCACTAGCCAGGTGCAGGAGTTTAATATTCCCAAACCATGCGACAAAAAGAACCTCCTACACTGCCGCCGGATCATGGGTAGTTCACAAACTGATTATACCCTAAACCTTTGATGCTTAAGTCGTATAGCATCACAGTTCATGCCTGGAGACCCAATGTCCAGTTCTCGTCGCCGTGAGCGACATGAACCCCAGGCCAGTCACCTTGCAAAATATAGTGTAATATAGCATAGTCCAGTATAGTAGAATATAGAATAGGAGAGTATGGTATGGTATCATCTAGTATAGTATAGTATAGTATAGTATAGTATAGTATAGTATAGTATAGTATAGTATAGTATAGTATAGTATAGTATGGTATGGTATGGTATGGTATGGTAAGGTATAGTATAGTATACGATCGTATAGTATAGTCTAGTTTAGTCTAGTCTAGCCTAGTGTAGTATAGTATAGTATAGTATAGTATAGTATAGTATAGTATAGCATAGCATAGTATAGTATAGTATATAGCAAAGTACATAGTGTAGTACATAGTATAGTATATAGTATGGTATTTTATAGTACAGTAGAGTACAGTAGAGTGGAGTAGAGTATAGCATAGCATAGCATCGCATCGCATGGCATAGTATAGTATAGTATAGTACAGTATAGTACCGTCTAGTATAGTACAGTATAGTTTAATATGGTTTAGTGTAGTTGCGAGGCCTATCTTTGACCCTGTGGGTCTACGTAGTATCCCCATACAAACTCTGGGAACAAATCACAGAACTGACCTTTTCCAACCTTAGAAGGGTTTAGGGTATAGGGTTTAGGGTCGATCCGTCTTCGG